GGGTTCCGTCCTATTGCGCAACTTCAGTACAATAACCACTCCAGAATTTGAGACCATTCATTCAGCTGGATTCATAGATATTAATCAGTATTATTGGATACATCTAAGCACTTGTATATTGCGACACTATGCTCCTTGTAATCCTTGCAAACATGTCGTGCCGCGTGATCTGTCGTACAGCGAGCACTGACAAACAGAAACCTGGAAATCGTGAAAATCTCAAACGAGGCTCTGCCGCTAGAAAAGTTTGGCGGTCTGGTACGGACTTGATATTATATCAATCACATTGTGCCTAACAGAACTACACTGAATAAGCGCAAAAAAACACAACAGAGTGTAACCAGAGAGCCAGATGCATTGTGAATTTTACGACCTCATCAAACTGGAGTCGTCTGTGACGTCTTAGTTGAGGTCATGCTGCTACACCTCGCCATAAAATATAGAAATACAATGTTATTAAAGTTTAAAACTAAAATTCTTTGGTAAATGCCATTATTTTATGAAACAAGGAATTGGAATTCAGTGTAACCATAGTTGTTCGTGATGTCTATTTTCACTTTCACACGGGAAAATTCGGATCGGTTGAAAAGTAGGTCATTGTCTGAATAGGTTAATGAGACTCGTGTTTCGGTTTGATGTGTACAGAGCGAACGCTGTCCTTGTTTGAATTGTGTTCAGAACGAACGCTGTCCTTGTTTGACATGTGTACAAAGCGAACACTGTCCTTGTTTGAAATGTGTACAGAGCGAACGCTGTCCTTGTTTGAAATGTGTACAGAGCGAACGCTGTCCTTGTTTGAAATGTGTGCTGAGCAAACGCTGTCCTTGTTTGAAATGTGTACAGAGCGAACGCTGTCCTTGTTTGAAATATGTACAGAGCAAACGCTGTCCTTGTTTGAAATGTGTACAGAGCGAACGCTGTCCTTGTTTGAAATGTGTACAGAGCGAACGCTGTCCTTGTTTGAAATGTGTACAGAGTGACTACTGTCCTTGTTTAAAATGTGTACAGAGCGAAGGCTGTCCTTGTTTGAAATATGTACAGAGCGAACACTGTCCTTGTTTGAAATGTGTACAGAGCGAACGCTGTCCTTGTTTCAAATGTGAACAGAGAGAACGCTGTCCTTGTTTGAAATGTCAACAGAGGGAATGCTGTCCTTGTTTGAAATGTGTACAGAGCGAACGCTGTCCTTGTTTGAAATGTGTACAGAGCGAACACTGTCCTTGTTTGACATATGTACAGAGCAAAAGCTGTCCTTGTTTGAAATGTGTACAGAGCGAACACTGTCCTTGTTTCAAATGTGTACAGATCGATAGCTGTCCTTGTTTGAAATGTGAACAGAGAGAACGATGTCCTTGTTTGAATTGTGTACAGATCGAACGCTGTCCTTGTTTGAAATGTGTACAGAGCGAACGCTGTCCTTGTTTGAAATATGTACAGAGCGAACACTGTCCTTGTTTGAAATATGTACAGAGCGAACGCTGTCCTTGTTTGAAATGTGTACAGAGAACGCTGTCCTTGTTTGAAATGTCAACAGAGAGAATGCTGTCCTTGTTTGAAATATGTACAGAGCGAACACTGTCCTTATTTGAAATATGTACAGAGCGAACGCTGTCCTTGTTTGAAATATGTACAGAGCGAACGCTGTCCTTGTTTGAAATGTGAACAGAGAGAACGATGTCCTTGTTTTAAATGTGTACAGTTCGAACGCTGTCCTTGTTGAAACATCTACAAAGCGAACACTGTCCTTGTTTGAAATGTGTGCAGAGCGAACACTGTCCTTGTTTGAAATGTGTACAAAGCGAACACTGTCCTTGTTTGAAATGTGTGCAGAGCGAACACTGTCCTTGTTTGAAATGTGTACAAAGCGAACACTGTCCTTGTTTGAAATGTGTACAGAGGGAACACTGTCCTTGTTTGAAATGTGTACAGAGCGACCACTGTCCTTGTTTGAAATGTGTACAGAGCGAACACTGTCCTTGTTTGAAATGTGTACAGAGCGAACACTGTCCTTGTTTGAAATGTGTACAAAGCGAACACTGTCCTTGTTTGAAATGTGTACAGAGCGAACACTGCTTGTTTGAAATGTGTGCAGAGCGAACAATGTCCTTGTTTGAAATGTGTACAGAGCGAACACTGTCCTTGTTTTAAATGTGTACAGTTCGAACGCTGTCCTTGTTTGAAATGTGTACAAAGCGAACACTGTTCTTGTTTGAAATGTGTACAAAGCGAACACTGTCCTTGTTTGAAATGTGTGCAGAGCGAACGCTGTCCTTGTTTCAATATGTACAGAGCGAACGCTGTGCTTGTTTTAAATGTGTACAGAGCGAAGGCTGTCCTTGTTTGAAATGTGAATGGAGAGAACGATGTCCTTGTTTGAAATGTGTACAGAGCGAACACTGTCCTTGTTTTAAATGTGTACAGAGCCAACGTTGTCCTTGTTTGAAATGTGTACAGAGCGAACGCTCTCCTTGTTTGAAATATGTACAGAGCGAACACTGTCCTTGTTTGAAATATGTACAGAGCGAAGGCTGTCCTTGTTTGAAATGTGTACAGAGAACGCTGTCCTTGTTTGAAATGTCAACAGAGAGAATGCTGTCCTTGTTTGAAATATGTACAGAGCGAACACTGTCCTTATTTGAAATATGTACAGAGCGAACGCTGTCCTTGTTTGAAATATGTACAGAGCGAACGCTGTCCTTGTTTGAAATGTGAACAGAGAGAACGATGTCCTTGTTTTAAATGTGTACAGTTCGAACGCTGTCCTTGTTGAAACATCTACAAAGCGAACGCTCTCCTTGTTTGAAATATGTACAGAGCGAACACTGTCCTTGTTTGAAATATGTACAGAGCGAAGGCTGTCCTTGTTTGAAATGTGTACAGAGAACGCTGTCCTTGTTTGAAATGTCAACAGAGAGAATGCTGTCCTTGTTTGAAATATGTACAGAGCGAACACTGTCCTTATTTGAAATATGTACAGAGCGAACACTGTCCTTGTTTGAAATGTGTACAAAGCGAACACTGTCCTTGTTTGAAATGTGTGCAGAGCGAACACTGTCCTTGTTTGAAATGTGTACAAAGCGAACACTGTCCTTGTTTGAAATGTGTACAGAGGGAACACTGTCCTTGTTTGAAATGTGTACAGAGCGACCACTGTCCTTGTTTGAAATGTGTACAGAGCGAACACTGTCCTTGTTTGAAATGTGTATAGAGCGAACACTGTCCTTGTTTTAAATGTGTACAGTTCGAACGCTGTCCTTGTTTGAAATGTGTACAAAGCGAACACTGTCCTTGTTTGAAATGTGTACAAAGCGAACACTGTCCTTGTTTTAAATGTGTGCAGAGCGAACACTGTCCTTGTTTGAATATGTACAGAGCGAACGCTGTGCTTGTTTTAAATGTGTACAGAGCGAAGGCTGTCCTTGTTTGAAATGTGAATGGAGAGAACGATGTCCTTGTTTGAAATGTGTACAGAGCGAACACTGTCCTTGTTTTAAATGTGTACAGAGCCAACGTTGTCCTTGTTTGAAATGTGTACAGAGCAAATGCTGTCCTTGTTTGAATATGTACAGAGCGATCGCTGTGCTTGTCTGAAATGTGTACAGAGCGAAGGCTGTCCTTGTTTGAAATGTGAATAGAGAGAACGATGTCCTTGTTTGAAATGTGTACAGAGCGAACACTGTCCTTGTTTTAAATGTGTACAGTTCGAACGCTCTCCTTGTTTGAATATGTACATAGCGAACGCTGTGCTTGTTTGAAATGTGTACAAAGCGAACGCTGTCCTTGTTTGAAATGTGTACAGAGCGAACGCTGTCCTTGTTTGAAATGTGTACAGAGCGAACGCTGTCCTTGTTTGAAATGTGTACAGAGCGAACGCTGTCCTTGTTTGAAATATGAACAGAGAGAATGTTGTCCTTGTTTGAAATGTGTACATAGTGAACGCTGTCCTTATTTCAAATGTGTACATAGTGAACGCTGTCCTTATTTCAAATGTGTACATAGTGAACGCTGTCCTTGTTTGAAATGTGCAGAGCGAACGCTCTCCTTGTTTGAATATGTACATAGCGAACGCTGTGCTTGTTTGAAATGTGTACAAAGCGAACGCTGTCCTTGTTTGAAATGTGTACAGAGCGAACGCTGTCCTTGTTTGAAATGTGTACAGAGCGAACGCTGTCCTTGTTTGAAATGTGTACAGAGCGAACGCTGTCCTTGTTTGAAATATGAACAGAGAGAATGTTGTCCTTGTTTGAAATGTGTACATAGTGAACGCTGTCCTTATTTCAAATGTGTACATAGTGAACGCTGTCCTTATTTCAAATGTGTACATAGTGAACGCTGTCCTTGTTTGAAATGTGCAGAGCGAACGCTGTCCTTGTTTGAAATATGTTACAGAGAAGAGAGCGCGCGTGCGCCCCCCGCCCCCGCAAACCCCATTTAATTTTCATTTAAAAGGTTGTTTTCTGTAAAATATGTACATGTCAGTGACTAGATGCTGGTCTAAAATACCACCTGAGACTGGATATGGAAATGGATATGAATTTAACGTAATGAACCCTTCTCGGAAATGTAGATCCGGTGCTAAGCTTTGCTTGACCTGCGCTGGGAAGAGGGGGCGGTGGGGTAGCCTATCGGTTTTAAGGGTTCGCTCGTCACGCCGAAGACCCGGGTTCGATTCTCCACATGGGTACAATGTGTGAAGCCCATTTCTGGTGTCAGCATCAACCCTCGACACACACGCTAGCCATAAACCATGAACGGCCCCTAATCCTCAAAAGTGTTGCCTTCTGGTTTGATGTAATAACAAGAAGACAAAGTCATCAATATCCCCCGCAATGGCAAAATACTCTTCATGATTATGTCTACGAGTTATGATTATGTCAAATATTTAGGTGTGTATAAAGAAAAGTGGAATCTGAACAAACGTATTACCGGGAATGTGTGAAGCCCATTTCTGGTGTCCCCACCGTGATATTGCTGGAATATTGCTAAAAGCGGCGTAAAACCATACTCACTCACTCACCATTCCCGGGAGAGAGACGAATATCAACATATCGCGCTGTACATACATGACCAGCATAATATCTGCACATTGTTGTAAGTGGTGTCCAGTCCTTAATGACACTGTAACTTCATAACACAAACATTGGCGTTATCAAATAATATAATACTACTCGTTATAATATTATATAGACAGTATGTCCACCCTGCAGGCAAGTCAACGCTTGCCTTTAAAGGCCGGGGTTCAAACCGATACACAGATGGGGTGTGGCCTCCTTGCCTTGTCAAAGCTGTCTTTAGATGCAAAGCAATGTAGTATTCAAGTACATTCCATTAAATATCACAAAACTGACTTACCAGTTCAGGCTGATATTAAGTCATAGTATAAAGAAGTATGTTGTGAAGACTCACAGCAAAAAGTATGGATGCAGAGAGTCTACAAAACATACATTTTGAAAATATATTTCACATTTTTAAATCCAGATTTGAATTTCCCACTGTGTCAGTCAGGTGGCCAGAGGAGGTGCGTTTCCATAGAAACAAGCCTTGGAGTGGGAAAATGTTTCATTCAGGGTTTCATATTTCAGGCAGGCTGGGAAAATGCACACCCACAACACACACACACACACACACACACCATGCTGTAGGGCTAGGGTTGTCCACTTATCTGATGCTGACATCTCTTTGTGAAGATTTTATATTCAGAATATAAGTAAAAATTGATGTTTCATATATGATAATCAAATTAATCTCTTTAGTCATCAAAATATGAAGTGAAAGGGACATTTACTATAAGGCACATGTTTATTCTAGTAGTAAACTCCAAGGTTAACCTTTGACATCGCCAGGCTCTTGCCAGACACCCATAGCCGTTACAGCCTTGTCATTCACGGGCTGATAACATCTTCACTGCTGAGGGGTAGCAGATGGGAGACTATTTGGTAACCCACGGGGGTTGGGGCGTTTGCGCCCCGGTCTTTAAGGTTTTTAATAGTTACTAAAGCATAAGTAAAATAACTTCAAGAATTTCTTAAGAAGTGGCTAAAAGCAAAAATGATATGGAAGGTGTGCATTTATTATAAAAAGTATAACCACAAATGGTAAAACATGCAACTGATCAGGATATGTTTTCACAAAAGATCGCGTTATTAACGAAACTGTTTCGCACATTGTACCTATGTGGGGAATCGAACCCGGGTCTTCGGCGTGACGAGCGAAGCTTTAACCTCTGGTCTACCCCACCGCCGCAGAAAAATAATAACAACGGCTGTAAGGGAGCAACCATGTGATTTGTGATTTCTAAGGTGGGTAGTAATGGAAAGTTTGTGCAAAAATACACGCAAGATGAATAATGTGTTTTTCAATAGTGGCATTATTTATTTATTTATTTATTTATTTATTTATTTATTTATTTATTTATTTATTTATTTATTTATTTATTTATTTATTCATTCATTTATTCATTCATTTAAATTTATTTTAGGTATGTGTTTTGGTGATATTGAAAATACTTTAATGTAATAATTGTTTGTGTTGTTAGTTCAAATGAACATACATGTTGGTGGTGCTCGGTACAAACAATGTTTTCGTTAATGCAGCTGGGGAAAAAACAGATTGTATCCAAACAACAAAAATCTCTCCTCTTCCTTATTGCAGTATGAAATGGATGCTGCATAACATCTGATTTTAATAGGAATGGTGCCAATATTTGAGCCGACCAGACAGATTGAGAACAGGTAGCAAACAGTGAGCCATCATTTTATCTTTGATTGTCTAAAGTTAACATATTGTCTCTGAAAAGAGCACATCTGTACAAAATATTGTCATCGTTTATTGGCGAGAATATTTCTAGTGGTATCTGCGCTTATACTCATGACGAGTCGTTTCCCTTCACAGGGAACGCCGCGCCGGAAGTGTGTAAACCCCACTGTCTCCCTTTTAGAAACATACTGCCAGGTGCGTGGATGTATGAGATACACATGCGTTTGAATACGAAAATTCTTTATGATCGTGATCATTGTCATGATTCATACCACACGACATGAATTAAACACTTATAGTTTAACGTTTAAAGAAGTAATCGTTTCAATAACATGTCACATTTCCTACTTAACAAACTTTGAAATAACGTGTACCGCAAAAATGATGGTCCCCACTTCCAACATGGCTGCCCCCATGGTGCACGCTTTCCATACATATTCCGTCAATATTCGGAGAGAAGGAACTCTGGTACAAAAGTCCGTACAGCTGGAGACGTCCGCGCATTCTCTGTCTAATAGCGCGATAAGTAGCCATTTACTTTGGGCAGGACCTGACTTCTCATTCGGGATGATGTGAAAAAATGTGACTCGTAAGAATATCGTGTTGAAACGGAAAATAGATCGTGTCTAACATCAGTCTGTCCAGGGATTGGGAAAGGCAGATGCCATGGGCCATTTTGCACATAAGAGTAAAAAATGGCCCATTAAAATTTTGAAGTTTACTACTGATGCAAGGGCAGTGGTCTATTCTAAATTCAGGAAATGGGTAATAATCCTGAAAATGACCCATTGTCAAAGTTCTCTATCCCAATCCCTGTCTGTCTGCACCGCATAGATCATGCAGTGGCTTTTCGACCTTTAGAGTCTTTGTGTGGGTATCGTTACTCCCAACTCTCGATTGCACTGCTCTCTGTGATCCTTATGGTTCGGTACGTGAAGATCGTGGTTAGAATTTGTCTTCAGCAACACCTGCCTATCATAACAGGATCGGGTTGTCAGGCTTGCTTACTTTGATGAATGTCATCATATCAATTACTTTGATCAATGCTGGGGCAGCCTAGTGGTTAAAGCAGGATCACTCGAAGACCGGGTTCAATCCCCACATGGGTACAATGTGTGAAGCCCATTTCTGGTGTCCCCTGCCGTGATGTTGCTGGAATATTGCTAAATGCGGCGTAAAACGAAAACTCAGTCAGTTGATCAATGCTAGTGATGGTCAATCACTGGATTGTCTTGTTCAGACTTGATTCTTATAGCTGGAATGTTGCTGAGTGCGACATTAAAACAAATAAATAAATACACACACAAACTTTACTGTTGGGTAACACTTGCCTTTCAACAACCCCTAAGCTGATTTTTGTAACTATTTGTACAAAGGATGTGGAACTGGCTCGTTTGAACACTCAATAATTGACAGTGACCTGTCCTAATCCTTGATGCTTGCTTCAATCTTCAGCCAAGATGGCGGAGAACTGGGATGAATCAACAGCAGCAGCTGCCCCTGAAATTCCCGAAGTGAAATTGTTCGGCAAGTGGTCCTCAGATGATGTTCAAGTTAGCGACATCAGTTTGACTGTAAGTGTTGACACACTTTCCTTCATAAAATCAATGTAGACTACAAGGTGTTATCTTATATGGGTGGGTTTGTGGGCAGGATAAAGTGCCCTTAAAGGCAACAGATAACCAACATATCCTTTGGGGGCACATACAGATAAAGATGAAAATATGCAAGGTGAGCTTGGTATAGTCTGTCGTACAGACCCTGAAGCAAATATATCCAAGAAAGCCCACGCAAGTCTAGAAAATGTGGCAAGTCTACATTTGTTTAGTCTCTGAAAATGAAGAAAGTCTCAGGGCTCCTTTTCATCATATTTTCTTTTACTATGAACTTTTTTCAGTAAAATATGTTCATTTCAGAGACTAGTTGTTAGTCTAAGCTTGGTAGTACTGTCATTGTTTACAAACAAACATGGCAAAGCCCTTAAGTAGGAGTACACCACCTAGAATATGATAAAACGACCTTAGTTGTTGTTAACATTATGAAGACAATAGTCTAAGATGCTTGAAAACAGTTTCTGATTGAGATGTATCAGGGCACTTTACAAGTTTTGGCAAGGTTGTATGTATAAATATTAAAGCAATTTAGCAAGGACACTTGCCACTATCAGTATCCACATCCATGCTTCCAAACCTCTACAAGTTATGTCCTTTTCCCTAATTTATTACAGTTTGATTTGTCTGAAGTGTGTCCCAATTGACTTTGTTTCACTTTGGGTACATTTGGTTCTGTACTTCGTATTGTTATTACAAAACTACCTTTGATCAAGGGCAAAAGGCAAATATAATATTTTGTTTACAAATGTTACTTTGCTTGTATGAAGTTAACCACTGTCTAAGAAACAGGTTTCAGTTGGAACTATGTTGTCAGGGGTTCAAAAATCCCATCGTCCGACGCCCGGGACAAGTCCGTTTTCATTTCAGGCAATCAAATAATGGTATCTTACTTGTCTGTCGGCTTATAGATAATTTCCACTTATGGTTTCAAACTGCAAATAAACTTTGATTTAATTTCATATCTGCTTAAGTTTTGCAATGATAATAAAGTAGAGTTATCTTTCTTTGCTATTTATCACTTTTCAGTAAATAGTCCAGTAAACATTAACATCAAATACCATGTTGATTTATTCTTTCATAATTACATCATCATGATTATGTCATAAAATCAGGGCAAGTGGAATATTAGTCAGGACAAGTGACTTTCTTAAAGTCACTTGCCCTGTGGCAAGTGGCTTTTAAAAAAAAATTGAACCCCTGGTTGACTTTTGTCACTTTCCCACCTACATATCACTGACATTCTGATGTGATATATGTTCATGAGCACATTCCTAGGATGCTTGCGTGTTAGAAGTGAAAATAGTTGGGTTTTTTGAAAGATGTTAAGAATGACATAGATGGGAATAAATGCATTTGCTATTGAAAATACTTTTGATAGAGTAAATTATTTTGTGATGAAATGGCTGGACTAATGCAAAACTGTTCCCAACATATTTAAGATTTCACTGACCCAAGATCAACAGCATCAAACCTGGACGATCAAAGATGTTGATGGTTTGCTTCTGTTTTTTAGGATTATATTGCTGTGAAAGAGAAGTATGCCAAATATTTGGCTCACTCCGCCGGCAGATACCAGGTGAAGAGATTTCGCAAGGCACAATGCCCCATTGTGGAGAGACTTGTGTGTTCCCTCATGATGCATGGTCGTAACAACGGCAAGAAGCTCTTGGCCATGAGGATTGTGAAGCACGCCTTTGACATCATCCATCTGCTAACAGGGGAGGTAAGTCTGTCTGGATGTTCAAAACTTTGTAATTGATACCAAAAGTGTCTACAGAATATAATCTCATAGTAGGCCTGATACACACCACTTACCTATGACCATCTAGGTCAGAATTTGTCCCCAACAACATATATTTGTCACGCTGATTTGACATTATGCCCCATCACTGAGGATCATAGCTTGCGGTAACTGCTTGTTTGACTGGTACAGAGTGGAAGCAAGGTAGCCGAGTGGTTAAAGTGTTCGCTTGGCACGCTAAAGACCCGGGTTTGATTCCAGACATGGGTACAATGTGTGAAGCCCATTTCTGCTGTCCTCTGCCGTGATATTGCTGGAATATTGCTAAAAGCGTCGTTAACTAACAGGCAAAGCAAAGGAACAAACAAACTTTAGTCTGCTTGTTGTCCAGTCTCTACAACAATAATGGGGTGAGTTTCTACTCCCATCCATTTTACCATACCATGGTGGATTTGTTTGTACAGTCCTCTACAATGATCCAATGTAAACACATCACCCATGATAATCCAGGTTAGAATTGACCTTCAGTAACCCATGCTTGTTGTAAGAGACGACGAAAGGGATCGGTTGGTCAGGCTTGCTGGCTTTGTTGACACGTCATCATGTCCCAAGTGTATAGATCAATGGTCTTTCTGTTGATCACTGGATTGTCTGGTCCAGACTCTATTATTTACAGAACGGCGACATATAGCTGGAATATTGCTAAACTAAACTCACTCAATGCAAACATTCACGTGAAGTACAAACTGGTTAATTGAAACCTTGTCACCAAGCCCCTTGGAATTCCAGTCAAGATCAGTACAAATTGAATATCGTGTTAAAGACTCCTTGTAAAAATAAGAGACCCTTACTATATCTGTCAACAGTGCTGTTTTACTACCTAATATCTATCCAAGTTTCTGGTGTCCCCTGCCATCATGTTGTTTGGATATTGCTGAAAGCAGCAGTAAAACCAAACTCACTCACTCACTCACTCAACTATCGAAGTTAATTTAGGAATTTCTAATTTTACTGTGACATTCATGCATACTGATTTGACATGAAAGTTCATGATCTTAACTAGAGGAATTTTTTCTGCCATCAGAACCCCCTGCAGGTGTTGGTGAATGCCATCATCAACAGCGGACCCAGGGAAGACTCGACACGTATTGGACGTGCTGGTACCGTGAGGAGACAGGCCGTTGATGTGTCCCCACTTCGACGTGTCAACCAGGCCATCTGGCTGCTCTGTACCGGATCCCGTGATGCTGCCTTCAGGAACATCAAGACCATCGCCGAGTGTCTGGCCGATGAGCTCATCAACGCCGCAAAGGTAGTGATTTATTTTTACATAGAATTCACAGTACAGGGTTCTCTTGTAAATTATTCCTGTGCTTTTGTAACATCTTTCAAAATGCGTATTTTTGTAACATCACAAATGAAGTGTTATTTTTGGGAGTGATATTAAGTGTTAAAACATGGCTAAGAAATCTTGTCTTAATTAAAGTAAGTGTCCTGTTAAATGTGTCCTGCAAACAGTATATTCAATATATTTCTTAAAATGTTTCGGTATCATGCTACTTGGTAAAATATCTTGATTTTTAAAAATAATTTGAGTCTTAGAAGGGTCGGTGGGGTAGCCTACTGGTAAAAGTGTTGTCTTGTCACGCAGAAAATCCGTGTTTGTTTCCCCATTTGTAAGCCCATTTCTGGTGTCCCCACCGTGATATTGCTGGAATATTGCTAAAAGCGGCATAAAACCATACTCACTCACTCACTGAGTCTTAGAAATTCATAGAATGATGCAATGAAACAAAAGAAATGTTTAACCCTATAATTAAAATCTTAGCCATTGTCCACAATTTCTATTTCATCTGTTACCAGGGTGTAAATTAGTTCAAATAACTTTATCCCAATGACTGTCACCATAGCAACGGTATACTCAGTATTTCATGGTCTAAATTATGTGTTATTTGTGTGTTCCATGGAACTTCCTCAACTCTACATTATCTGTTTCGACCGCCTCCGTGGTGTAGTGGTTAGAGCGTCCGCCCGGAGAGTGGAAGGTCGCAGGTTCGATCCCCGACCGCGTCCTACCAAAAGACGTTAAAATATGGTTCTTGTTGGCCCCTGCCTGGCACTCAGCATTAATGGGTATAACAAGGACTGGTCGGCTCGGAGTCAGTATACTGTGTCTGAGTTGGGTATTCATGCTTCACTGCGGCATGGTATCTCAGTGGGCTAGCACTATAAAACCAGCTTCAGTCCGGGTTAGTACAAGCAGCCGCACATACACATGCATGCCTCGTCATATGAGCCGAAATATTTTCAAGCACGATGTAAAACCCAACTTCACCTCACCTCACATTGTCTGTTTCAGGGTTCCTCCAACTCCCATGCTATCAAGAAGAAGGATGAGCTGGAACGTGTGGCCAAGTCCAACCGTTAAACACTGTCAAATATGCCTGTATGCTTCTGGGGAAATTAAAAAAAGTACATGTAAATTTGTTGTGATGAGTTGTCCCTTAGGCATGTTGACAAACCTGTAACAGAGATGCCAACCTCTAAGATTTTATTGTAGTCGCTACGAATTATAGCCTCAAACTACGCCAGTACGATTGCACTAGAAATTCTACAAAATTTGAAGAAAATTCATTAAAATTCGGATATATAGACAAAAACATATATTTTCGCCTATTAAATACATTTTCGCCAATAAGAGACAAGAAATGTAAAGCTGATATGGAAATCTACTGTTGGAGGTATGGGACTTTATAGCTTCACTCTTGATTAGTGTCTTATCTTTCTCGGAATCCATCATGATTTTAAGTATTTACAGAGATGCCAACCCTTACGCTTTAGGCGTAATTATTATGATTTTGACCAATTACTTATGCCATTACACTTAATCTGCGAAAATTACGCTTTTCTACTTCGCTTTTCTCAAAATCAGTTAAGTGGATAAATGTTCACAGGGAAGTGTTTCCGTGAATGCACAGGGGCAGAAATGGCCTTGCACCGATAGGGAATCGCTTACTCTTAGCATCGCACTCATTCCAATAACTTGCAAGTATAATTAAAGATATTGAGTCACATGACCAACAATTTTTCGATGTATGGAGATTCATAATGATTGGTTACGCGTGTTTGTCTAGAATCTTCCTTTTCGTGAAAAACGTGTGCCATGTTGAAGGGATCGGGCAGACAAGTACTACACTTTTTAACCGCTAGTATTACACTTAGGGCCTAAATAGGGTTGGCATCTCTGTATTTAATTGAGTACTAATTTTATGGTTAAACTACTAATTTTGATCCTTGAAACTACTATTTGCAACACTTAGGGGGTGGCATCTCTCGGGGTTTGGTGTTTTCAGGGTTTGATTACAAACATAGTTAAATATTATCACACATACGTTGATGTTTGTACCGGTTTGCATTAATTGTTAAGACTATATTGAAAACAATGTGCTGTATCGCGAAGTACACGTGTTGATTATATGGGGGAAAAATTTCGATTTTGACACATTGAAGCAAAAATGTCAATTTAAGATGCCGTGTCAAGCCTTAATATCTCCGCATCAATTCAGGCATTCTCTGCTCCATAATATGCCCTTCATCAAAGTGATGATTGTCCGACACTAGCATGAATTTGGCTTTCCTCACACAATAATCTGACATGTCATGGCAACTTGACTAAAATATTGTGTTAAGCAGCATTGCACATGTTAGACTCAGTTTGTAACTGAGTACTGTAAACAGGACGTGCACCCATGAAGTTCCGGGTTAGAATGTTGATCTTCAGTAACCCGTGCTTATCATAAGAGGCGACTAATGGGATCGAGTGGTTGGACTCGCTGACTTGGCTGACACATGTCATCGGTTCCCAATTGCGCAGATCGATGCTAATGCTGTTGATCACTGGATTGTCTGGTCCAGACTCGATTATTTACAGACCGCCGCCATATAGCTGGAATATGGCCAAGTGCGGCGTAAAACTAAACTCACTCACTAAACAGGGCGTGATCTCTTGTTTATGCTGTACCTGTGAAGATCTGGGTTAGAATGGGTCTTCAGCAACCCAAGAGTCAACTAACGGTATCGGGTGTTCAGACTCCCTGGCTTGGTTGACACGTCATGCCATCTGCATAGTTAGATGCTCATGCTGTTGAATCACTGGATTGTCTGGTGCAGACTCATTATTTACAAACATCCGCCATATTGCTGAGTGCGGCGTTAAACATTGCTGATTTAAGTTTGATTCAATCCAGGCTTAATTTTGCATGGGCGTAAATAAGGAAAACCTACCAACAAATGCAAATATATTTGGTGTGATCCAACCACGGAATCGACCTGCTCTCTAGGCTGATGGCATAAACCAATACGTCACAGAGGTGGTCACCGTCATATGGTTGTGGCTGTCAAAAGCCCAGAAATTTACTCTCAGATCTACCTACAAATAACACAAACAGGAGTATATCTAAAAGGTTTATTTCTGAATAAGTACCTCTGTAAACAATTATTTCAGAGACAAACACAATATTGCAGTGATAGAATATGCTGAGAAATATGATGCAAGACTTTTCACACAACTTTCTTAAAGGGATCTGATAATGGCTGGTAGCCAAGGTACTAATCTCAGAATTTGAGGTATGCTCACCATCAAATTACTTACCTAATCTGGTTGAGTATATTTACTTTCCATTTATAAATTATAAAATACATCAGTCTACATTATCACCATACACAATTTCCTTGAAGGATGAATGGATGTATTTTAAGATAAAAAAAAATAATATCACTTTTGTCTCATATCCATGTGATTTTAATTAATTACTTAAATAAATGTTAACATGAAATAATAGACTACATTTATTAACACCACTACCACTTATAAGACCATCTAATGAAATGTATCATGTATGATATATATGAGATCACATCGGTGAATTCTTTCATCGTCGAATACTAATATGTACAGATAACAGGGTTGTAACCATCAGGCAATGGTCAGGTTACAGTCTTGGCACAACGCTCTTAACAGAAACTCTTCCCTCCTGTTCTCTGAAGACGATCTTTTCCTTTTAGCCTTTATTCATATCTTGTGATAACTTGCATTCTTGTAGTGAAGTCCATGGGTTGGATTCTCAATGGAGTAGTAGAGCAAAGTTGGTAGGGACGTTACTTTGTAAGCTGACTTGGTGGGGTAAAGAACCCAGTGCCCTGCTTGCTGGCGGCCCGGGACGGAGCGAGACCCAGCATTTTCTGGATGTTCTGAAACATGAGGGGAGTGAGAATGTTACTTGTGTTATGTTAATTTGTGTTAATTATACTAATATTATGTGGATAACCCAGACTCATGCAGATTACGGTATAGTGAGTGAGTTTTAGCAATATTCCAGCAATATCACGTCAGGGGACACCAGAAATGGGCTTCACATTGTACCCACATAGGGAATTGAACCAGGGTCTTCGGCATGACTAGCTAACGCTATAACCACTGGGCCACCCCATCACACCATTGCTGCTATGGACATCTGACACTTCAATGAAATTTACATTGGCAAGTTTCTTCGCAGTGTGTAACACCTTCATTGCATTACGTCAGTCTTCCAGTTCCTACAAAACAATTTAATAAGGAGCCCACTGAAATTTTGAATGATTGAGCTGCCTCAGCTCAAATTAAGAATTGTTCTGATCTCCTTTTGAATTATATGTATTCTTTGTTTGTGAATCCATATTTTATTAAGATTAGAACTTTATTTTTGGGACGAAATGTCATAGTTGCAACATGGTTCCATGACCTGTATAAATCACGGTGAGGCCCGAACATGTAGCAGGGTAACCCAAACTGATGCAGATTGTGGACAATGAACTTCAGTTCAGAGGGATACTTGCCCATGAAAAGTAGGTGAATATCGAGTTCCTTTGCAAGTATCGAGTTAAAAGGGTAATTTTGCTTGTTGGGACCATGAAATTATATCGAAATATCTGAACTAGCGAGACAACCGTATCGAGTTAAAAGAGCTTGAATAATGATAAATTATGAAGGATTTTGCTGGGACCAAGATGTTATATCGAGACAACCGAGATACCGAGTTATCAGAGTTCAAAACAACGGTGCTCGACTGTATATCTCTTTGGGATGCATCTACTTGTGTCCTGTTTACCTGAGGAATTGATATTTGTATAATGAGCAGGTTTTAAGATTGCATACAAGTAGAAAAAGCATGCCAATTCCTCACGTTCTCAATGTACTAATTACAAGATAGTTAGAATTTAAATAAAACGGACAAACAAAACAAATTATCTGAAGCATCATCACAATCATCATTTCTTGGTAAACATAAGAAGCAGTCAACTGCAAGTTCAACACTAACACAGTGGGAAGTTGTGACTAGGGCATGAATAGTATGGAGACCGCGGCAAGGAGCTATCACTGTGAGCTGTTTGCTGCTAAGGGAAGCAACTCTTCATTGAATTGGGGCACAGAATGACATGTAATCAGTATCTAAATGCCAAATATCGGCCGAATAACACTCGATCACCATGGCAACAAATCACCGCTGTATCTCAATAGCAACTCACCTGTCTGATGGACATGGTACAGAGAATGTAGAGGAAGATAAAGGAACAGTCAAAATAATCTTCTCCCGGCAAATTCCGATGTGAGATTCCTTGCATCAGTGAGATGGGCATAAATGGCAGCTTGGCAACAACTCGACCATCAAATCTGAAACGAAGAAATAGAATGATTTTAACGCTTTGTAAACTAATTCTTTCTTCTATGGCAGCACCATCTTGAGACCTGGGGAAGTGAATTACTCATCGCATCATGATTTAATGATTCTGGTACTCATGTAAAACTCCAAATTGGATCCGTATATCATGTACATTTTGAAACACTTGAAGTAACACAAACATTTTCAGACTCTTGCTCCAGTACATCATCATCAAGGATGTTGTAATCTTCAGTGAGTGAGTGAGTCAGTCAGTAGTCAGTGAGTGAGTTTAGTTATATTCCGCACTGAGCAATATTCCAGCTATATGACTGCAGTCTGTTAATAATCAGAGTTGGACCAGACAATCCAGGCATCAACAGCATGAACATCAATCTACGTAATTGGGATACGATGACATGTGTCAACCCAGTGAGCGAGCCTGACCACGCGATCCTGTTAGTCACCTCTTGCGACAAGCATGGGTTACTGAAGTTCAATTCTAACCCGGATCTTCACAGGTCAAGTCAGTAAGTAAGTGAGTGAGTTTAGTTTTACGCCGCACTCAGCAATATTCCAGCTCTATGGCGGTAGTAAGTAAGACAAGGACAGGTTTGGCACTGACAAACCTGGAAACATAATCAGGAATTATATATGGAAGAACAGTCAAGATTTAAAAAGCAACAGAATGATGGTGACCATGTCTGAAGAAATGCATCATCTGTACTAATTGTGTCTAAGAGGGAACATCAACTTACATTGAATTGAACATGCTTAGAAGGGCAGTAAACGCAAACCCAATAGCAAACATTGACTTCATTTTCACCTGAAACATAAAAAACCCAGATTACAACCATTTCACCATGAATGAGTCAGTGTTTCCGCTGACTTAATTATTTATCGGACACTGTGTCAGGCGACCTAAAATTTTACCGGTCATGAATGAAATTTGCCAATCGTATCCTATTGCCATACTGTGGGTACTCATTTTAAAGTTATTTTTAGCCTGGGAATTTTCGAAACAAAAGAATTTTTGCGACCATGAAAGCACAGCCAAGACTGTCATTTCGCTTTACCCATGTTTTTTTTATTTTGATACATGATTATTTACCGGACACAATGTCCGGATGGGTTTCAATTTACCGGTCCACAACAAATTTTACCGGTGATTTTCAGGTATATACCGGAGAACGGAAACACTGTGAGTGTTTGAACATTGTTACACAGTCAGGAATATTTCAGTACATCATGGTGGCATGTACCTTAATCAAGTCTGGAGCACGCAGTAGAACAAAAAATGTCCCTCCTATGTTTTCTGTTGTATGTTATCAAATGAAACTAAAAGTTAATAACATTCCATTTGCATATAATTTCTTTGTTTTATCTGACTGACAATGTTTTAGCTATGGATAATCAGTAAACCTAGTAATACAAAGATCGCAGGTTCGATCCCCCGATCGCGTCATACCAAAAGACGTTAAAATATGGTACTTGTTGGTCCCTCCCTGGCGCTCGGCATTAATGGGTACAAGGACTAGTCGGCTCGGAGTCAGTATAATGTGTCTGAGTGGGGTATTCATGCTTCACTGCGGTATGGTATCTCAGTGGGCTAGCACTATAAAACCAGCTTACGTCTGGGCTAGTACAAGCAGCCGCACATACACATACACACGCATGCACGTCGTCATATGAGCGAAATATTCTCAAGCACGACGTTAAACCCAATTTCATCTCACCAATTAATACAAAGGAAATGGCAGAAAAGAATGTTATGGTTACCATGGTTACAAACGCGATGAAATATTCATGGTTACCCATGGTTACCCTTCAATGGAGATAGTTGCAAAACAAACGATCAAGATTACAAAACTTACAAAAGACAAATCACGACTGTTGTTTTTCAACTTCTCTTCCTGACGTTCTGTAAAGAGAAGAAATCTTTGTCAATCATGAGTACATTAAATAATGATAAAAAGCAGCTGGTAGCTTTATGGTTCAAAGTGTTTGCTCATCACATACAACATTAGTAGTGTTGGGAATAGGAAACCAAATTCACTATCGATTATCGGAGGATTGTGGTGAACGATTATCTATTATAATCGAAATATATACATTTTTAATGAAATCACCAATTTGAAGGTTTTTTCCCCAGGTTTTTTCTAATAAATGTTTCTTATAACTAATACTGTCATGCAAGAAAGACACTGGAATTGTAATTAAACAATAAAAGTAGTTAAATTTTACAATGAGCATAGCTTTACGCTGTTGAGGGCATGTTTGTTCATGAATATTCGTCAAATTTAATCTCTAGTTTACTTCATTCAAGTGTCTTAAAGTAAAACAACAAAATTCCAATTAATCGAAAATATGTTTTTTTACAATCGATAATCATTTTTAATCCTTCTTTCGATGGATTTTCGATTATTTTCGATCAGCGGAACACCACTAAATATTAGTACAATGTTTGAAGCCCATTTCTGGTGTCCCCGCTGTGATATCATTGGAATATAACCACCTGCTTATATAACTAACAGTTCATTCATAAATGGGGCCTATTACACTTCTCATAAATGGGGCCTATTACACTTCTCATAAATGGGGCCTATTACACTTCTCATAAATGGGGCCTATTACACTTCTCATAAATGGGGCCTATTACACTTCTCATAAATGGGGTCCTTGTAAAGTCAGTTTTAAACAGCCTTGTACAATCAACCCAAAGAGGGCCCATTATAGTCACCACCTTTGACAGGCCAGTCAAAACACAGCTTTATTCAGTTAGTCGGTTTAATCTCCAAATATACTGAAGTAGTATTATGTTCACTTTTTTAAATGTATTTCACGTTTACTTCCCACTCACGGTTCATACCACTGGCTTCAAACACTCATACCGTGAAGGTCCGGGTTAGAATTCATCTTCAGTAACCCATGCTTGTCGTAAGAGGCGACTAACGGGATCAGGTGGTCAGGCTCGCTGACTGAGTTGACACATGTCATCATATCCCAATTGCGTAGATCGATGCTCATGCTGTTAATCCCTGGATTGTCTGGTCCAGACTAAATTATTTACAGACGGACGCCATATAGCTGGAATATTGCTGAGCGTGACGTAAAACTAAACTCACTCACACACTTATGCAACATTTTAATTTACTATATGTAGTGCTGGATCAATCAATCGATCTCACTTGCATCAGAGATTACCGATAGGCTCGGGAGACTAATCGATATTGATAAGAAAATTTAACATAAAATTTCACTTTAGAATGTATGTTCCTTATTGTAGTGTTTGTTAAATCAAGACATAAACAATTGCAATGTAAACAACATACTTTAGTGGTGAGGTTTACGATTACAATCGATCATTGATCGAAAACGATCACTCTGCATATTGTGAGCGATAACCAGCACTGATCAGTGATCATACCTAATTTCTTCTTCTGACCACGATCAGCTGCTTCTCCACCAGCCTCTCGCTGCTTCTCCACTGGAAAACAGGCAATAATAGTATCACCATGGCTACATGACGTTTATTATCTACATTTTCAACAAAAACTTACAAGTATACAAGTATTCCAAATTAATGATACGATCCATGTATAATATTATCAGGCTGTTCCTACTAATACAACTACATAATCATATAAAAAAAGACTGATCTTAAGATAATGTTTCACAACATTTTAACAAGTAGACAATACTTGTCAAAAAGTTCAATCAGTTATTTTTGTTTCTAAATGTGATATCCAAAAATGACTACATATCATTACAATGTTTTACAACCATTCAAGTCACCATTCAGACTAATTAATACTTTACAATGTCATTCAGTTATAATATCGTTCATAACCATGGCAACAGAATGTTTCTACATACACTTTTTGCTTTGCTTTTCTACTTCGGCTTTCAGCTTCTTGTACTTCTCAGTCCTGTAAACTAGTAGCCATGTTAAACCTGCAAGAAAACAATCAAAATTTAACTGTTGATCTGTTGATGACAGATATGGTCACATGAAAGTTAACATTTGGCATAAAAGTTTCCCCAAGGGCATAATTATTATCATTTTTCTGAAAATGAACCAGAAAATGTAGAAGGTATATTTTGAGTCTAAGAATCACTGTGAGCAAGTTGGTCTGAACACTGCTTTATACAGTATTCAAGTTAACCACTGCCTGTCAGCTTAATGTCATAATAATGCCTAAAGTGCAGTTCTCAAACATTTACTGCTGCATGAATATATTCATAGGTTGATCAAAATTACATGATCATAGAGGAAAATCTAACACACACTACCCATCCCCTAGTTCTCATATTCAATAGGGGCCGTGGGGTAGCCTAGTGGTTAAAGCGTTGGCTCGTCACGCTGAAGACCCGTTGAATCCCCACATGGGTACAACGCTGAAGACCCATTTCTGGTTCCCCCTGCCATGATATTGCTGGAATATTGGGTACAGTCAGTCAGTCATATGAATAGTCTAAGTAACAACACTGGTGTCCCCACACCATGATTATTGCTAAATATATTAACTAAAATGAAGGAACACAAAACAAACTCAGTCAGTCAGTCAGTCATATTCACACACACACACACACACACACACACACACACACACACACACACACACAAGTACACACACACACACACACACACACACACACACACACACACACACACACACACACACACACACACACACACACACACACACACACACACACACACAGGACACACACAAATGACACACACACACACACACAGACACACACACACACACACACACACACACACACACACAAAATTTGCACCCATCATTAGCTATCGTGTGAATTTGTCTTGCTAGCTTGAAGCCAGGGTTGGGTAAAAAGAAATCTTAACCAGCTGATTAACCCAGCAAAATTCTTTACTTATCATAATGGGTTTCTTTGAGAGGCATTTTAGAAATTGTAAGGATGAAGGAAAACCAAATTCTATGGGTAGTCAACTTCTTTATTGCAGTGAGTGCCACATTTTGGTGTTGGTACTAACATCACTTGCTTGATTTGGCTTGATAACCATGATAACGGTGTTAGTACCTACACAGAAAGAAAGAAGTTGACTCTCCATACGCGAGGAGGAAGCACAAACAGTCAAAGCTTTCTTGACCCGCGACAGGTTTATTACGTGAGTTTACAAAAGACGCGCCGGAAGAACGACGCGGATAACCCGGCTGGAATATGATGTAAGGTATTCCTAATAACTACTGGCGGGACCACTTTTTCTTCTCTTAACTCTTTAAGTTGAGAGTGACGAACTGGACAAAAGGCGAATGTTTAACGGAATGAACACTGGAATGGCTAACTGCCTGACTAGAATTTAAATGTCCATGAAAAGTGTCTGGAATGGAACGGAGAGAAATACAGAATTAAAAGTCCATATAGTAATCATCAAATCTTGTTGGTGGTCTCCTTGAACGTGAGGTGCGTCCGGCTGGAGTTACAGCACAGTCTCTGTTTGGGTGCTCGGACGTAGGTACTTCAGAATTGATACCTCCACAGGGTGTTTGGTCCTCAGGGGGATGAATCATGGGAGGTGGCTCATCTTCCATACTGGGAGGAGGTGTGTCACCGGGTGGGTGGGTGTGGTGTGGTGGTGGTGTGTGTGTTGTTATCTCCGTGGGGACATCTGACAAGCGAGGAGGGGGGCAGTCGCTGAGAGGTGTAGTGTCGTCGTCATGGTCCGAGTCACAGTAGTGGGGCTGGTACAGAGGTATTTGACTCGGTGGCTAACAGTCCGTTAGCTTGACACAGTAGGATGTGCTGCGAAGTTGGGAGCCAACAAACTTCTTGATGTTGCACCAAGCGCAGCCAACAGAAACAACAAGATATCGCTTACGACCATACGACTTAGTACCGTCAGAATGCAGGTAAACCAGATCACCGACAGTGATGTTAGGTGTAGGCATTGAGAGCGTGCACGAGTTCAGCCGTGCTACAGCTGTGGCCAGGGATAGGGGAGTAGTGGCACCACCAACTGGGTCTTGAGACAACTGTTCTTTTTCTACCTCCTGGATCGCTCTCTCCGCCACAGGGTTTTTGTTACGATTCTTGGTTCTTCCTACCTCCAAACAAAGATTGTGTTTTTGAGTAGGGGGTCGTTCGTTAGAGTCACAAACCCAGGAGCAGGATCCACTCTCACTACACTAGGGGGCCAGCAAGAGGTTTCAACTGAATGCATAGCTGGATGAGAGCATTTCGCAGGGATTCATGGCGCTCATCTTGTATGAGGCAAGCAGCGGTGTAGGAGGTTACATATTCACGCACAACAAGAACAAGTTGCCTCTCCCTTTCCATTACATCAGCTGCAAAAAGAAGACCGATAGATTCTGGAGGATGACCTGTAGACTGTGCTCCAACGTGTGAGGAATCCTTGCGAGAGAAGAGCACACATGACAGGAGGTGGTGGTGAGCTCGACAGCTGTGTCCAAGTCTGGGGCAAAGAAGTATCTGTGCATGACAAGTTTAAGCTGGTGGCATGACGGATGGTCGAGTTGGAGGTGTAGGGCTGTCACAAGGCCATCAAGTACATCACGAGGCACTACGATGCACTCACGGGTGGGAGCCAAAGGCTCATTCTGTTGCACAATTAATAACCCATCCCGAGCAATAGTTACAACGTTTAAGTAGCACTTAATGTACTTGACATCAGTCTGCTTCCTGGATGGTCGAGTTCCTTGTGCTAGGGGAGAGTGTCCACGTTGGAGATCGTGATTCTCTGACTGAATGGCATGCCATGCCGCTCTGTTTGTGTAGGGCAGTTTAGAGTCCCCATTGACAATATCCTGGACAGATACTTTCAACACGGTGGCTTCCTCAGACTTTCTAATGAACATACACACTTGGCAAAGTTCATCCTTGCATTCGGCAGCATTTCTACTGGCGAAGTCTGACGGGATGTTGGCACTACCAGATAGATGGCGGACGGAGGCTTGATAACGGCTTACTGTTGAGAGAAAAGGCGATACACGTGGGCTGGCTGAAAACTCACCACGACACAATTTCTCATATGCTTGGACGCAGGTTTTGCTGTCGGTGAGTATACAAGCCTTGTGTTTGGACTGGATGAGGTACGGTGAGAAGTGTTTAGTTGCTACACCTATGGCGAGAGCTTCGATCTCACAAGGTAGCCAAGTTATCAGTCGGACGCGGAGCTTGGCACTGAAGAAACCAGCGACTCTTGGCTTATCCTGTCTTGTCACATATAGTGTGGCACCGATCCCATTACACTTCACTGAACCGTCGGTGACAATCCATAACAGATCAGCTAGGCGAGGTAGAGTTATTGTTCTCGTGGAGTTGAGAGCAGCCTTAGCAGCTGTAAAGGTGTCCAAGAGGATATCCGTCCATGCAACTTTGTCTTGTGACTGTTTGCCTGCCTGGGCATTATCCAAGAGCGAGATGTACGATGCACAGTTAGGAAGGACACGTGCCAGGACCTTGTATGCCCCAATAAAGGATCTCAACCCTGTAACACACTCTGGTGGGGGCAGGAAGCAAGTGCAGATACACGATGAGAGCAAGCCGTGAGGGCACCTTCCTTCCATCTCCATCCGAGGATGCTGACAGAAGATGGTGCGATGAAGGTCTTCTTGGCTGACAAGCGGAGGTTGTTTCGGTAAAGTGCGTCTTGAACACGACGCTAATTTGACAAGAGTTCAGGGATAGAGTTGGCACCACAATAAAGGTCATCAGCCAGTTTAACCAAAATTCTTCTTAGGAAATGCTGTGTGACGGGTAGGGAGGGTCTGTTCATGATTATGTCTAGAAGTGGCAGCTCTCATAACTTTAACCTCTCCAGAAGTACGGACCTCATCCAGCAGTGAAGAGAGTGCCTGAGATATTTCCGGTTTGATGATAAAGTTCTTGATCGTATTCAGTACCATACCTTTGTTTCACCAATTTCGGCAAATCTTGGTGGAGCAAGGGCAACTACGTCCAAACAACAAATTTCTTGAGTGTGGGGGTCATATCTTCGGCTTGGTCTATGTTGGCACCAAGGTGACTGATACCCCCATTTTGGCGAAGAAGGTTGTCTTCAACAAAGGCAATTAAACGCTGGTATAAGTCCTCAGGCTTCTCATCAGGTTGTAACTGAATATCACTGAAATCAAGGAAGTGCCCTCCAGTGGACTGAAATCCATAATGGAGTCTAATAGTTTGCAATATCCCATCAACAGAGGTGGAGTTCTTAACAATTGTGTTTCTTGATATGACAGGACAATAGTTGGCTATCTGTCCGAGCATGAGCTCTAGCATGGTAACCTTCTGTTGTGCAGTGAGTCCTCCCCTAACGTCCCTACCATCATCCACGAAGCCACGTAATGGAGCTGCACGTGTTTTCTTAGCCCACTCAATACCAGTGAGGAATGGAGCAAAGCTTGGGTCATGGGAAAGTGTATAAATAATGTTCTGCTTCCAGTTTTCGAAAGAGTTCACTGTCTCTGACTTTGTCAAGCACCACTGCTTTGGTGCACGATGTGTGTTAGCCATTGTGTCGAGCGGTTAATTGAGTCGTACACGCTTGATATAAGGCGAGTGACTGTTCACTTATATTGTGAGGTACCTCTGAAGACGTGGATAAGATCAGCACTGCCACCACGCCAGGAGGAAGCACAAACAGTCAAAGCTTTCTTGACCCGCGACAGGTTTATTACGTGAGTTTACAAAAGACGCGCCAGAAGATCGACGCGGATAACCCGGATGGAATATGACATAAGGTATTCCTAACAACTACTGGCGATAGAAGTTAGAACTTGGTTTTCTTTGTTTGACCGGGGTATTTAACCCTAATTATCATAAATGCAGACTTGATCGGAAAGTGGATAACTTCACAAAACTTAAAGATCAGTGGAAAGAGGCACAATAAAGGGTTATATTTGCGCTTCCCCGTAAAGTCCAGTCTTTCCCATATGAACTGGACCTTTGTTTTCAATTGGATGGAAATTTGGGTAATAACGCTTCATTGATCGAAAACTGGACAAGCTATATTCTGAAGTACGATATGATTCCATATAACTGTTACATGGGAAACAAAGGAAACAACTTTCACACGGTGTTTATGCATCAATGGCGTTTCGTGAAATCAGCAATTACCTTCTCCAAGCAAAGCTGTACATATTGATATGAACACAATAAGAACACAGTCTCCCAACATCTTCGGGAATGATCAGATCAGGCACAAAACGGAAGCGGAAATAGCTGTCCCGTTAATAATAATTATGTAAAACTATTCTTTAGTCAAACATATTAATAACGATAATACTGAAAGAGATATGCATCAATTTAATTTTGATAGCCTTTAGTAATTTGATATATTATATATATATATATTATAACATATTATTCTCAATAATAATAGTTTTAAAACTATCTTTACGGAAGTAAAACACAAGAAATATATGAATATATGTTAAAAGTTGGTTTGAAAACAGTATATAATTGTGTCGCTTGTCAACTTCGAAAATGCTTTGACAGTGAACATTACGTTTTGTAAAAACATCTTCCTAACATCATTAGCAGTTGATAAACGACATCATGGAGCTGCAAAGTTTTGTAACTGTACAAATTCAAACATTTGATCCCAATGCAAATTTGGTGAAGGTAAGCGTACAATAATTCGCCATGCCTGCTTCGAACTTTTTCAAACAGTCGACAGGTGGTTACACCCTTCTGAACTGCTGTTTACTGACAGGCTGTGACGATTATGGCATAGGCGACAGCACCTATGGGTCAGAGTGACAAGATACCTCGTCAACCCACTTGTTGTCATGACATCAGAGCGATTATATCATAATCAGTGCAACCGAGTGGGAGTGTCATGAACTTGTTGGCCTCCCCTGCACTGGTTTTATAGTGTTTTAAGATGTCAACTGATTTAACCAAGTCATTTCACCAATATTACAGTTTACACAGGCCATGGACCCGTTTACATATATATGTAAACAATCTCTGAAGATTGAAACACCTATTAGTATTACAGAAAACTGATTAATATTTACCCTGATCGCAATACTGTGTTTCACTACTGGCTAGCGAACAGTTATCACCATGTAACAGATATCGCCAGTACATCAGTATCCCATCTGCGCAGTTCCAGTCAGTTACAATTCTGGTATTTCTTCCTACAGTATTTGACAATACAGGACAGAAAAAGAATATTCTTCACAGCAAGTAACATAAGAGAAAAATAAAACATAAAGTTATGAACCCAATGAAATTTTTTTAACTTAGTCAGGGGGATGTCCCATGACCTATATAATAACAAGTTAAAAAGTCATTAAGGCCTAAAACAAAATGTGGTTCCGATTACACGACCGACCCTTGAATTCTGGTGCCGACCCTAGTTTTTTTACAAGGTATGAATAAAATAAGCTTTCAGATACTATTGTTTTTTTCCCGGCACCAGCGGACATTGGTCTTTCTTATAGAGAAAGTCGACATTGATAAATGTGTTATTAGTTCTTAGTGTACTTCTAAAAAAATGTACAAAAAATTCCTTTCTACCTACCTACCCTAAATTTTAAAGAGGTGTAATCGGAACTACAACATTTGATTAATTTGGCCTAATTGTTTCATTCTCTATCAATCTACTGTAAAAGAAACACTCAAATAGTCACACAATCAAATATTCGAGGTTACTGTATGCTATATAATAAATATATATTATTTCACGAATTGCATGAAACTTTCTGAATGGCAATAACTGTTTCAGTTTGTTGTAAGAAACATCTATTTATACTTTCATGATTAACTTGCGTTATATAGAAACATGATCAGCAGCAGTGAACAAGCTGGACACACCGGTGAATAGCTAATTAAGTATCATAATTAATTCTGTTTCATTAATTTAACGAACGACGGAGTAATTTTGTAAATACCGCTAAAATATGGCGATAACTGTTTGCTAGCCAGTATTGCTTATTGAGTTCTGCCCATGAAGGGGTGTAGTCCTACACAGCTGAAGTCATGTTGTACTTCTATTGGAAAGACTTCTAATCAGATCATATTACCTGATTTTATATATCTTTTTCCCTATGATTATAATTTAGGGGGAATACGGGCAGAAGCCTTACCCTTCTATTACAGGTACCCTAGCTCTCATTTTATGGACTGCTTTATCATACTATTTTTGTGCATTTTTAGGCTTTATGTGTTCATAAACAAAGAGTCTAGAGACACATATGATGAACAAAGCCTTACAGAATCTGCAGGCATTGTAATATGTGTTCTATTTTGTTCAAAATGATAACTGCCTTTATTATGTTCACAATTCCTGAAATATTTCAACATTGTATTCATCATGTTCATTTCAACAGTAGACAAATAAACATTAGAGCCTGTCTTTATTGGTCCTACTATCAATGAAATACCAGTAAACCTGCAATGCAAAAAAATTTTTAATTCTGGTACTCTAATTTCATTTACCTTTAACCGCCTCCATGGTGTAGTGGTTCTTTTCCTGTTTCAAGTAGCTGTACTGTTGTCTTTCAGCTGTCGGTCCCTTCAGAGCAAGACGAGGTGTCTGTCCACACACTACATTCTAAAGTCTGTGAACACTTAGGTATGTGTAATACTGTATCCATTGGCTACCGGTACTTTATCCCAGTTCGCTGGGTAGATTGTAGTCAAGAGCCACACTAGGGACCAACAGCCGAGATGCAACCCTGCAATCATGTCGTGATGTTGGTCATTTCTTCACTGTTGGAGCCCATTGCTGCTCTTGGTTAGTTAGATCGACTCTTCAGTAGGAATCTTAGTCTGCCATACAGACCCTAAAGCAAATATATCCAATACAGCTCATGCATGTCTATGATATTTGATAAGTCTAGATTTCTGCAGTTTTTGAAAATGAAGAAAGTTTCAGGGCTGTTTTTCATTATGTTTTAAAACAAACTGTAGTTTTCTGTAGAATATGTTAATTTCAGAGATTAGTTTTCCATACTGGAATCTAAGACCCAGCTATCATTGTTGACTGTTCTAATTTCCCAAGTTTTTGTTTATATATACAGTAATAGTAACTGGCTGTACGGTAATGCTGTGGTCATTACTTAGGTGCCTTGAGAAAACAAGATTGTATTAAAAAATGAAATGATCCCCATCTGGAATGTGTTCTAACTACCAGTTACTAAAAACATTTATTTTGTCAAAATTGGCACCTTTTAAGCCTATATTTTCTAAAATTCAGAAGTTTATTTTCTTGTATAGTCTGTACAAGTTATCATTGTTAAGCATGTTTTGTTCAAGTGAAGTCGAATTGAACTTTGTAAGGCTAATGTTTGTCGCCCATGATTATTTTCATGGATGCATGTGTCATGGGTCATGTTATAAGATGTAATTCCTCAATACATGAGTGAATCATAGCACTTAAAGTCTTTATGTAAATATACCCATGCTGAGAGTTATTACCATGATTACTGATGCTGCTTGCACCAATCTCAGTAATATATCCCAAAGCGAGCTGAATTTGATGTTCTGGTGTTCTCGACAATTGCGTTGCTGGCTATATCGGGGGAGTACGTGCGCGATCGGTGAGCACAAGTAATTTCATAGGCAGGGCAGATGCCCAGTCACTGTCGTGAGAAGTTTTATTGACAATTGAAAACCGGAAGTTAAGTTGTTTAAAAAACATCAATATTATTTACCCGAGATCTTTAATATCACTTCAGATGCAAAATCAGTTGCCTTTATAACAAAAAATATCAAGCAAAAATTCAGTAAGATCATTCGTGACTGGTGACAGGCAATATTTAAAAAGAAAGCCACGTTATCACAACACTCCCTCGCAGTGCGGAGAGAAAAGTATGGCTCATCGTCGAAAACCCATAAAAAATCCACGGATGTGGCGAACGGCAACAGTTTCGCCAATAACGATGTCATCAACTTTATTTTTGTAGGAAACACTTGATATTTTTGTGTGAAATAGATGAATATATTCTTTATCACCCAAGGTTAGTAAAATTAAAACTTCAAATGATATTACAGATAAAAATTACGTTTTTATCTTACATCGTCGAAAACCCCTGATACCGGGATACTGTATATTTACAGTGTCTGAAATAAGGCCCGTCCAACCGCCTGAGACGGGCTAGATTTCTGCTGGACGGTCTAATGTTACAGCTAGCCAGTCTGATGGACGGTGAAAACAATATCTGGATAACGTGTCCACTGACACTGTCTATTTTGTATTTAGTGAGTGAGTGAGTGAGTTTAATTTTACGCCGCTCTCAGCAATATTCCAGCTATATGGCGGCGGTCTGTAAATAATCGAGTCTGGACCAGACAATCCAGTGATCAACATCATGAGCATCAATCTGCGCAATTGGGAACCGATGACATGTGTCAACCAAGTCAGCGAGCCTGACCACCCGATCCCGTTAGTCGCCTCTTACGACAAGCATAGTATTTTGTATTTAAGAAGGACTGGTTAAATCTCTTCTGGGCTGGTAAGTTTTTGGAGTTACTAGCCCTGGGGCTCCTTTCATGAAACAACCTTTACTAAGGTCAACCTTAACTCCCATTCTTTAACATGGCACTAAGGTTACCTTAGTGACTTACACCTTAGTGCAATGTTACAGAATGGGAGTTAAGGTTAACCTTAGTAAAGGTTGCTTCGTGAAAGGAGCCCCAGATGTCTGGCTTGGTTTTTGGTTTATTTCATACACTGATATTTATACATATTTTTTTATATTTTTATATTCCCTAGAGAAATGGACACAAAAGTAGAAGAATTTTGTTATTAAAGAAGTTGTTCTAAAATGTGAAAATGGTTTGACAGTTATAAAATTGTCCAGTGTAAAACATGCTGTGCTATTTGATTTAAACAAATTTATTCATTATGAGTAATGAAAAGGCTTAGCTTAATGCCGCTCCAATACAACTGCATTATGTACTACAGTCAGGCCGCGGTAATCCGGTCCTCGTTAATCCGAATCCACCGACTTCCGAACACTACTCACTGAGCACCAAATCATCTCCCTATATATTGTATATAATTGACACCTCGTGAGTCCGATGATTCAGTTTCCGCCTCCGAACGCTGGTCAGTCAGAACGGATTGAACTAATTAAGTTGTAAACAGCTGCGTTAATCCGAACGATTGAAGTTGACCGCGCTGCTGACTGGTCCACCCAAAGTGACACGTTGTTTGTTTAGCGACTCATCCCTTTGATCCCTTTATCATAAAGCCTAACCAGTCCAGTTAACACTTTAACAACTTTTACTCCAAATATATTGAGTGAGAAGTGTCAATGTGTGTTGTTAAAATATTCCGCTATAAATATGTACAGGTAAACATTTCACAAAGCAATGCATTTTCACTATGGCTAGCCAGCCTGCTAAGCGTAAGCGCTTCGAAATTACTGCTGCTCTAAAAAGGGAAATTTGCCTATACAAAGAAAGAAATCCTAAAGCCAGTTTCGATTTTTTAAGTAAACATTTTGGCGAAAAATTCGGTCATTCTGTCGGCAAAACTACTGTTTCGGACATTTGGAAAAGTAAGGATAAGTGGCTAAATATTTCGGAAGATTCTCTATCTCTCACAAGAGAACGAAATGCTAAACATGCCAAATTAGAGGAAACACTTTATCTTTGGATGACAGAAATGAACACAAAAAATGCTTCAGTAAATGACCAAATGTTAACTGAGAAAGGCATGGAATTGGGCTCAAAATTAGGAATCAATGATTTTGGTTATTCTCGCTTGGCTTTACCGCTTCAAATCCCGTCATCAAATTAAGAAACAAAATTATCAGGGGGAAGCTGCCAGTGCTGATAAGAATGCAGTAGTTAAAGGTAGAGAAGAATTGAAATCATGCTTGAAAAATTACGACGAAGACGACATCTTCAATCTTGACAAGACCGGCTTGTTTTATAAGCTCGGACCCAATCACACACTTGCCTCTAAGAAAACACCTGGTGTGAAGAAGTCGAAAGAAAGAGTGACAGTTGCATTATGCTGCAATGCAACAGGTACCATCAAAGTGAAACCCTTCATGATATGTAGGGGTGTCACGATACACCAATCTCACGATACGATACATATCACGATTTTAAGGTCACGATACGATACGTATCGCGATACATAATTTTCGCGCCTTTTCATAGCATTACCTTACCGGCAACGGACGCGCTCACTGATTGGTCCATCAAAATAGTCTAGCCAATCACAAAAGCTGTTAGTTTCCAACCTATTTTTTAAGTAAAGCTAGCTACATCTATTTATCGGAGCGGTCTGGTGTAATTTTACTATCAAGACTTTGACGGAGATGGATATAGCATAAAAATTTGAATCGATAAAGTTTTAAAATAGGAATCGATACACGCAAGCATGTATCGCGTATCGTATCGTCAGTAAAACTGTATTGATGCATCGATACATTCGCGTATCGCGACACCCCTAATGATATGTATGACATTTCAACAGTAAATAAGTAAGTGACATTGAATTTGATCAATGAAATGAATTCATTTACAGTAAGTTTACAGTTATGTATTACATTGTGTTTCAGTACATTACTTCTTAAAACTTAAATCGACAAGATTTTTCAATGAAACAATGAACAGATTTAACAATTTGCAAATTTTCAATTTCTGATGCTTGAATATTTCCATACAGGACCGATTTTAGATTGTATCCATTTCTATCAAAATGCATATCATTTCTTAAATTATCATAATTTGGACACAGAAAGAAATAGTGTAAATTATCTTCACAAACTGCAGCACAAGAACAAGATAGGTCATTAGATATAAAACGATTAACTTTGTTTAGATCACTACATCCTAATCGATGTCTGCAGTGTATAATTTGACAGAATCTGCTTCCAAAATTTGGATCTTAGGCAAATTTAATACCTGAGTTGTGTGAGATTTTATCTGTGAAAGATTTAGAAGATTGTATTCAGGGGTGGAAATAACTTTAAAATTGATAGTGTACTCCGTTACAGTGGCACATGTAAAGTCACTTGCCCTGATAATTTTTGCGCTATACAGACCGTTTTCTTGCTGATTTTTTAAATAAACAACATAATTAACATTGGAAAGTCAACTGCACACTGGTACAGTGGGATATACAAATTTGCTTGCCCGACAGAAAAAAACACTGGACTCGGACGTCGGGCAATGGGTTATTTCCACTGTATTTCTGCTGTATTTGTTTAATATCACCTTGTAAAAGGTTCAAAAGTTCTACAGTGCTTGGTAAGAAAGCGTTACTGTAGAAGGTTGTTCTTGAAGGAACGTTTTGTAAATTTGTTTAATTTCTCAAATCATAGGAAATATTTGCCGATATGGGTTTTGGAACCATATTACATAAATAGCTAGGTGCTACTTCATCACATTTACCTTTGCATTTGCCTGCTATGCACTTGTAACAGGGACCATATAATAAAATCTGTGCTTGTAATTGACAAACGCAACTCTTGATCATTTCAGGTTTGAAGAAGAGTAGCTGGAAACATTTTTGCTTATGTCAAGGTTTTGACAAACCTGTGAAGAGATACAAAGCTTCTGAGATGCTTCTGGTGCCTGTGAAAGGTGAGGACGATTTGGACATGGCAGCTGCATTTTGCTTTCTCCCTTTATATGTATTCTACACAGGTTTATGCTATCTCAATTGCCTCAAACAAGTGGTACACTTATACCTTATCTTACAAGGATCAGTGTGATCTTTTGTTTGGCCTGAAATAGTCAAGAATTATGACTTGATTGACATTTGTTGAATTTCAGTGTTCACGTATAGCGTCTGACCCTCTGACAAATCGGGCAGATTTGCCAACGGTCCGATAGAAGTCTACAACCCCCCGGCCCCAGTGTCCGACTGTATATTTCACAATGACTTTGACTGAAGTTGTTATATGGGACATGTGACACCTGTTTGCTGTTTATAAATCTTATGTTTGTTTATACTTTCATTGCCAATTATAAGAAATGTTAAATCTGAAATGTGTGTTTAATTTTATTCTATGGGTCCTGTGAATTTTCAATGGGTCAGACAGACATCTGAAACTTACAGGACCCAATGTCCTGTTCCTTTAAAACACCATTCGTGAACACTGGAAGTTTGTCTACTTTCAACAACTTGTTCAAATCTCAGTGCTATTCATACCCAAGCTGAGGGTGGTGGTGCAATACAGACAGGCCATGTTGGAACAATGGACACCAATCAAGGCCGCATTGCATACAATAGAGAGGAGCTGGTGGCTATTCCACAATCAGCATCAAGCCTTTCTAAGCCAAGACTTTCTCCTGGAATGTTTGAAAACCTCAATCAACTTGGGATTTCAGTTGTACAGAAAACAAAGAGAGGAAAACATGCTGGCAGAAAGTTAAAGAGAAATATTTGTGAACAAAATCTGTCAAAAGTTCATCCACAGACTTCCAGAAAATATGTGAGTGTGTCAGTGTGGAATTTACTATCATCAAACAAAAAACTTTAGATTAGGGACATGCTGGTCAGTGGAGATATTGATGTACTTTTCTTTACTGAGACATGGTTACGATCTAAATGGAGATAAGTTTACCAGATATAATTTATATCTGATAGTCCTGAATGTAACTGCGGGCATCACACCGAAGATGCGCTTCATTTCTTCCTCATCTGTTCCACATTTAACGACATAAGATTAATTAGATCAAACACATACTTCTTTAGTAGAGGATTTAATTTGTCATCAATCTTATATGGTCATTCAGGCTCAGTGAGTTTATTTGCCTTCAACGATTCTTTGCAAATTGTCACACATTATATCGTCAGTATTGTCCTTGTAGATTTCCAGTTATGTTTTCCATTTAATTATTAATGCTATTGTACCTAAAGTAAACCTTTGTATCTTTGAATATATAGACATTGTCATTTCATCTTTCAACACATCTCTCAGAATTGTCGACCGCCTCCGTGGTGTAGTGGTTAGAGCGTCCGCCCGGAGAGCGGTATACCAAAAGACGTTAAAATATGGTACTTGTTGGTCCCTGCCTGGCGCTCGGCATTAATGGGTACAACAAGGACTGGTCGGCTCGGAGTCAGTATAATGTGTCTGAGTGGGGTATTCATGCTTCACTGCGGCATGGTATCTCAGTGAGCTAGCACTATAAAACCAGCTTAAGTCTGGGCTAGTACAAGCAGCCGCACATACACATACACACGCATGCACGTCGTCATATGAGCGAAATATTCTCAAGCACGACGTAAAACCCAATTTCACCTCACCTCACCTCAGAATTGTCGGTTTATACTGCCCACCACGATCATCAAGAAATAAGCTCTAACATGCTGACTTTGACTGTGACTCTGATCACTGTGCTATGCGGTTGTCTCTTAACATGCAGAGGCCAAACAATGAAGTAGCTACAAAAGCAGGTCGTAATGTTAAAGGCAGGGGTTCACACCTATACACAGATGGGATTTGGCCACATTGCCTGGTCAAAGCTGTCTTTTTATGCAAAGCAATGTAGTATTCATGTACATTCCTTAAAATATCACAAATTTGACTTACCGATTCAGGCTGATATCAAGTCTTAGCATAAAGAAGTATGTTATGAAGTTATGGACGCAGAAAGTCTACAAAACATTCATTTTGAAAATATGTTTCTCATGTTTAAATCCAGATTTGAATTTCCCACTGTGTCAGTTAAGAGGTGTGTTTCCATAGATATGAGCCTATGAGTGGGGGAAAGTTTCATTCAGTTTCATATTTCAGGCAGGCTGGGAATATGACCCCCCTCCCCCACTCCCCTGACACCATGCTGTGCAGGGCTAGGGTTGTACACTTCTGATGCGGACGACCGCCTCCGTGATGTAGTGGTTAGAGCGTCTGCCCAGAGACGGAAGGTCGCGGGTTCGATCCCCGACCGCGTCATACCAAAAGACGGTAAAATATGGTACTTGTTGGTCCCTGCCTGGCTCTCGGCATTAATGGGTACAACAAGGACTGGTCGGGTCGGAGTCAGTATAATGTGTCTGAGTGGGGTATTCATGCTTCACTGCGGCATGGTATCTCAGTGGGCTAGCACTATAAAACCAGCTTCAGTCTGGGCTAGTACAAGCAGCCGCACATACACATACACACGCATGCACGTCGTCATATGAGCGAAATATTCTCAAGCACAAGGTTAAACCCAATTTCACCTCACCTCTAATGCGGACATCTTTTTGCTGACGATTATATTTTCAGAAAATAAGTAAAATTTGTAGTTTCATATATGCTAATTAAATTCATCTCTTTAGTCATCAAAATATGTACTGAAAGGATTGTTGGACATTTACTATAAGGCACATGTTTTTCGAGTTGTAAATTCCAAGGTTCAGCTTTGACATCGCCAGGCTCCTGCCAGGCACCCATAGCCGTTACAGTCCTGTCACTCATGGGCAGATAACATCTACACTGCCGAGGAGTAGCCAATGGGAGACTATTTGGAAACCCATGGGTTTTTGGGAGGTTTGCATCCCGACCTTTAAAGGAATTGACAATGTGAAATTCAGTCAAGATTTGGCAACATGGGATCTTGTCACAAATCCTGTATCAGACTGGTGGGCAGACTGCTTTGTATAACAACTCACTTCGCCAATTGCTGGACTGTCACGCACCTCCGAATGAACATACTTTAATACCGCGTACAGGATGTCCCTGGTACAGTGAATCTGTTCATGAAGCTAAACGTCAAAGACATAAAGCAGAACGTAGGTGGCGAAAATCTCAACATGAGATACATCGTCAAATCTATAAATCTCAAAGAAATGCTTTTTGCAAGATCGTCCGAGAGCAGAAGCATTTGCACTGTAAACATCAAATTACAGAGTGTGTAGGAAAACCTAGAGAGCTTCACAATTTCATGAAATCTATTATGGGCAAGACGAAAGAAGTTGTTCTTCCTCAAAGTGATAACCTTACACAACTTGCCAATGATTTCAACTCATTCTTTGAGAATAAAATTCTGGATATCCAGAAACTTCTCAGGGAGTATAAGCAGCCAGACATGGTGTTCGAGGAAACCTTGTTTGATGGCGTTCCTCTGAGGGAGTTCGCACTTTGTACTCCACAAGATGTTCTGACTCTCAGCAGGGCGGTGGGGTAACCTTGTGGTTAAAGCGTTCGCTCGTCACACTGAAGATCCCGGTTCGATTCCCCACATGGGTACAATGTGTGAAGCTCATTTCTGGTGTTCACCGCCTTGATAGTGCTGGAATATTGCTACAAGTGGCTTAAAACTAAACTCACTCACTCACTCACTCTGATTCTCATCAAATCATTCAACAAAACCACTTGTCTGAATGATCCAATGCCAAGCAATCTTGTGGTTGATCATCTCGATCATTTACTTCCAGTTATAACAGACATTATCAATAAAAGTCTTTCATCTGGTGATTTCCCTACATGTTTGAAAGGTGCTATTGTTACTCCAGTGTTAAAGAATTCCAAATTTGATACCAACACACTCAACAACTATCGGCCCGTTTTAAACTTGACTTTTCTTTCAAAACTTGTGGAGAAAGCTGTTACCAGACAACTGATGAAGCATATCCACCTCCATGACATCCTTGATGACTATCAGTCTGCTTATCGTCCGCAGCATTCAACAGAGACCTTGCTCCTGAGAGTTGTTAATGATCTCAGGTGTCTAGTGGATTCTGGTGACATGGCAACGCTGACTCTTTTAGATCTCAGTGCAGCGTTTGATACAGTTATTGATTCCAAGCTTCTGGATATTTTACAGCATCAAGTTGGTATCGGTGGAACAGTGCTCCCTTGGTTTGCATCCTATCTCCATGTCAGGCGACAGTCTGTATATGCCTCGGGACAGTTTTCGGAGAAGACAGTGCTCTCGTGTGGAGTCGCACAAGGCTCAGTGTTGGGGCCTGTGCTGTTTCTCTTATAAGTAAACTGTCTCAAAACCATGACTGACAAGTTTGAGACACCTCATTTCTCGTATGCAGATGATGTCCAACTGATGATTAGAATCACCGAATCAATGTCTGACACCCTACAACATATTGGAAACTGTACGTCTGAAATGAACTCATGGATGACTGAAAGAAAACTAAAGCTAAATGATGACAAAACTGAGGTATTGTTGAACATAGAGAATTATCTGGATTTCATCTTCTTTTTATATTAATAAAAATAAAATAGAAATAAAAAGAGCGATGTCGACTCGGAATTGACAGCCCTGTGATTTTTTTTCTGTAATGCCGACAATGTATCGCGTTCACGTTCTAGTTGTTGTTTGATCTCGCATATCTGTCGCAAATGAAACCTGTCTACGGTTTCCAGTGTTTTTGCTTCTTCGTCGGCAACCGGATACAGTCCCATCTTGTGTATAAGATTTTTTATAACATAATATTTAATTGTGTTTCCGTTAATATCCGATCGATGTATTTGAGGCTGATAAGGTTTAGATTATCATACACATAAATATTCGCGACACAAATCCAATTTTTTTTCTATAACACAAACTCCATCGAGGGTTACTAATGGTGTCGATCCCGGTCTTATGACGATATGACACCGTTGGTGATTGTGTCTGTCGAACCAGCATAT